TGCTTGACTCGACTATGCCCCAAATTTATTGCTTATTTAGCATTTTCAAGTTTTCTTTATGAATGTACTAAAAAGCAACCTCGATTGTAATGCAAGAGCAGGAGAATCTGTTTTTGAAATCAATGAAATTGAAAGTTGCGGTACTGAAAATTTTCCACTTTTGGTCCAAAAACGGTCTTAGTCGTAAAAAGATTAATTTGAACAAAGTCAACTTTTATTAAAACTTTTCAAAACTATTTTCGATGTGGATCAGAATTGGACACGCCGAAAATCTGTCACTGAAATGCACAACCCGAGATCCCTGCAACTGTAAAGTTGCCCCTAGTCTGAAGAACAATGCGGCACTGCACAACAACGGAAAGTTGCCCCTAGTCTGAACAGCACTGTACCGGAGATCACGATAAATGCTGATGAATAAAGATGACTGAGATGATCAAAATGGACAGAGTTGATCGGGGAAAAGTTTATGGCTGAACTTCGATGTGAAGCTGCCTACGTATCCCAAAGATGGGAATCAAGCCTTACGTAGTTCAGGCGCAAGTTCACTCGAGTATTTTCACTCTCCTTTTGCGCTCTAACTTTTGCCAAGGCCGCCCTTCGCGGGTTTTCAACCTTGCGAGCTCAGTTTTTATATTTTCTTCTTTTTGCGGGTTTTCAACCTTGCGAGCTCAGTTTTTATATTAATTAATTTTTTTTTTTTTTTTTTGTGCTCTGAATTTTGCCTAGGTCGCCCTAAAGACAAAACCACACAGTTCCTAAGTTAGTGCTCATTTGGTTATCATCCTAAGCTAAAAAATTACAAAAGGACAAAAAAAATCAAAAAATCACAAAAGGGCAAAAATCACAGAAGGACAAAAAAAATTTACAATTCCAAAAGTTCAAAAATTCAAACAATCAAAAAAATCTCAAGCTAAAATAGTCAAAAAAAAAAAAAAAAAAACAAAAAATAAATAAAAAAAATTAAAACAAAAAAAATTGCTTACGTCCATGATAAAAATAATTTAGACAGGAGACAGTACAAGTACATCAGTAAAAAAGGTAATTAGAAAAAAATAAAATAAAAATAGTACAACAAACACAACAATTAAAAAAACAGTAAGTAGAAGTACATCTTCAAAATAACAAAATACCACAGATTCAGGAATACATCTAATTGCTTATCCAAACATGTCAAACGTCATTGTCAGGTGGTGGTAGAGGTGGAGAGAAGTAGTGATGGTAGAGCTGACTGACTCGATGGTCAATTTGATCTAAGCGATTGCTTGTCACTTCATGACGGGTTTCAATGTCCACACGAAACTCACCAAATTATTGAATTAGTAAGTTATGAGCGATGACAAATGCATCGAACTGATTAGCCATTTGTTATTCCCATTGAACGCGCTAATTGTGTCCTTATTCCATCCCCAAATAATCATTCCAGTATTGCGGTTGTTCATTTTGTGGCATAGCATTGTCATGGAGGTCTTTGGGAGCATCATCCATTGGTGCATTTGCAATATTTAGAGATCCCAATAAGTTTTCAGCGCCACTAGCTCAAGTAAGTGTGTACTCTGAAATCGGTGAAGTGATTTTCATCTCTGCTTCACCTACAAGTCTAACATGAAAAGCTTTGAAAATTTTGGTTAGTAGAGCTCCAAAAACTAGTGACCATGCACTGATAGTAACCAATATTTGCAACCATAATTTCCTTCAGTAATATGTAGCATAAATCCAATTTATGTCCAACTTCAAAACAATATAACAAATAAGCATTAAAAATTGGAACCGCATCAAAATGTCCTTTTTGGAGCGACATTTTTTGCTATAAATCGGTGGAGAATACGAAGGTGGGGTTTCAAATATTTTTCTTGTAAATTACTGCCGGTAAATTGCCTCTCACAAATTGTAGTATAAACTTCACTTATATTACCAACAATGTTAACTAGGTCAGACTCACTCTGAAAATAGATTTGCAAATCCCCTGGCTGAACTCCGATAATTTGTGCCAAAGTGTAGATGTTCAATGTGATTATTTTACCTTTCACATAAGATATAAGATTATTCTCTCCAACTTCTCCCTAAGTAAGTCTCAAGTGAACATAAAATAAATACACCAGATATGGATATACATTTTGTGGTAATTAATTAAATTTAGCCACCCCATCGTCTAAAGTTTGCTCACCAACAGAGGATCATATTGGCGAGGGAGATTTATCCTTCTCCCGATGACAATTGGTCCGTTACAAAATTGTTCAAAAGCTTGTTCATGATTGTAAGTGACAAAATCAATAGTTGGATAAACCTGTTGTTGTTGTTGTTGGCATGGTGGAGGATTAGAGGTTTCTCCATGTTCTAGTCTTGCTCTTTTTGTTCTATGCATGGCTTCTGAAGGTAAGCAAAAGGATAGCAAAAGGTATGGAAGGTTTCGACTGCTATTGTGAGGAAATGGTGTGCAAAAGGTAAGCAATAGGATAGCCAAAATGAAGCCTCAGGTTGGGTCATGCTAAAACGTGTGAAAAGGTAGAGCCGATTGACCGGCCAGAAGACCCCCCGGTTGATTTATTCTGTGATGGATTCGGTTGCTGCTGTTGTGAAGCTTTGTTGCTGATGTGAAGCTCTGAACTTGATCAAAGCTCTTCCTCTCTTCTTGTTTTACATGGATATGAGTTGTAAATATAGATTGAATTTGAGAAATTAATTGTAAAATGTGGTGGACTGAATTTGGATTCGGATGCTGTTGTGAAGCTCTGAACAAAATGAAAGCTCTTTCTCTCTTCTTGTTTTACACAATCAAGATTTGTAAATATATAGACTGAATTTCTCAAATTTATTGAGGTAGGTGGTGGACTAAATTTGTGAAAT